GAGCAGCTAATAAACCTAAGAAAAACGAGTTAAAAGAGATCGTCACAAAAGACTTGCTCCAGAGCCTCTGTGAGACACGACAGAGGTTCTGTCGTCTTTGTCTTGAAACAGGGTCTATTCAGAGGACAAGTTCCAGAGTCTCTGTGAATAGAGACAGAGGCTCTGTCACCTGAACCTTGTACGTTGGGCTTCTTTGATGAATGTCCTCTGCGGTCTTCTGTAACAGATTATCTTCTGTCAAAACTTGTTGTGTTACTTTTTCGATACTTTTACATTCAAAGATGAGAGCTAACAATCTCCCCCTACGTATGAAAAAGTAAACTAGAAATTGAAAGAGCAAGACATTACTTTGAAAGAAATTACAAGAAGTGATTAAACATCAACTTCTGAAATGAAATACTTGATTGTAAATTTCAAAGCGTTAAATTTAAAGTTACAACAGAAAAATTACAATGATTGTGAAGCTATGCCAAATTCAAGAAGAGTCAAACAGCAGACTCTGGAAAGTCATCTATTGGGTATACAAAGTCTGTCTTGATCGTTCTGTAAATGTTGAAGAGGAACTCCCTGAAATTGATTTGAGCCCTGATTGGTTCCAAAAGAGCAGAAATCTCATCTTCCCTTAACTTTCCATTTGCCACCTCTACCATGATGCACTTGAATATCCATTCCAATGTCTCGGTTGACAACTTGTGCGGTTCGATTGGGTCAAAGAATCTAAGTATCTGATCCTTGTCCACATACACAAACCCAAAGATGGGATTGTGTATAATGGTGTTTGGATAGTACCTAGCGACCCAACTTGGCCTGCTGTAAGGAGGGGTGATCTTCAGACTCCTCTGTCCAAGTCGCATGGCCAACTCGAAGTCTTTCTGGCTGCAGTACATAACGTGTGTGCGCATGACTTGCATCAGCCTTCTGAGAGAAATTGCATAAGTGGACCTCTTCTCTGTGTAGGCGTTTAAAATTTTGTACATGAAAATAACGTCGAACACACAGAGGTTGTGAAGATCTGCATCCGTGAACATGTATACATTGTTTTCTTCCCTCTTTACAACGTATTGAGAATAAGACACAGCCTTTTTTAACATAGTCTTTGGTGAGAYCGACACCAAGGAGATGATTTTGAAGCACGAGAAGACTTGTTCACGTGGCTTAGTCAATCGAGAGAAGTGGAATTTGGCAGCAGGAGATGGGATGTCAGTCAGCTCGGGATCATAAGCAGCCTCTATGTTTATGACAGAGTATTTCCAGATGAGCATTTCCTCTGGAGTGGTGACGGTCTTTGTTTGAACAGGAATTGAGGGAATCTTGCTCATAGATTCCAAGATAGCATCGACGCGTCCTTCTTCTCTATACTCTGGAATCTGCT